GGTAAAATTGAGATTGAAATACAGGCCCATGTGACTGCAAAGCTGGTCAGTTCTGCTACTACCATAGTATCTAGCCAGAAAAGATGGGACTAGTGTTCTGTGTCCATGCAAGAGAGAAAAGAGAGAACAAAGGAAGAGTCTTTGCATCTTGCAGAACCTTTTAGCAATAACCATCTACCCACCTACTTATTCATGTACACAGCTGTATGCATTTACTGAATGTCACTCTGCTAAGATTTTTACCTCATTTGATCTTCACTTCAACCTACATAATGAATAACATTATCCCATTTCATGGATAAGGAAACATTTTCAAAGATCACACAGTGCATTATTGATTGACCCAGGATTTGACCATGGGTTTGTTGGACTCCAGAGTCACCACTGCACTGTTCCCTGCCCTTCTGTTCTGAGATGGATTTCTAAAAGAACCCCAATTCTCGCTCACATAAGCCAGTGAATATTTCCCACAGCCCAATTCCCCCAAATTAATTAAAAAGTGAAATTTCCCAGAAAACTTGTACTGAAACAAACATATATAAACTGTCATTTTTTTAGTGTTAAATCTAACAACTTTTTGTAGACAAGTTTTTTTTGTGTGTGTGTGTGTGTATGTGTGAAAAAGTATCTAAATCAGTCAAACTAAAATAGTCAAAAAAGATAATTAGCAACACAAATCTCTCCTGTGCAGGGTACCTAGTACCCCTCTTCTGAGCCCACTGCTGTTAAGTTTCTTGTAATTCTTCCTTAGATCACACATGTATGTATAACTCTGGTTTTGGTGCCTTATTTTTATTATTGTTCCAGAATTGGGGATCTCATATATATCAGCACATATTACTCTTGTTTACCAGCAGGATGTTTAACAGAAACTTTGGTGTGATCCACTCTACCTTATTTACAGAGTCCCTAGTTGATGGGCATTTTGATTTCTTACACTGCAATGTTGCAATGAGCATTCTTATACCTATGTCTTTATATGTTTGTTGAGGTCAAGTTCTTGGAGATGAAACTCTTGGTTCCAAGGGCATTTTTGTCTATGTTGAGAATCCCACAAAGCTCAGCATTGCTCAGCTGAGCAAGAAACCTACAGAACGTGCTAAACAAAAGGCAGTTTGCATGGTGGCTGGAGTACCAACTCTGTGATCAGCCAGTCCCAGATCTGCAACTCATGACCTGTGTAACCTGGGGGTGTTATTTAACTTTTCAAATTCAGAATTTACCATAGATTTAGTGCAGCAATACTTTAGAACTATTTTATTGAACTAGCCATGTTCCAAGTACTACTGTCTTCAATGATAAACTCTTGACAATTTTATGATGTAGGTTCTATTAATGTAGACCCTCTTCTGTAAGAGGAAACTAGGCATAGAGTGGTTATATACTTGGTCATAGGTCATCCAGCTGGCAAGTGGTAGGGCTAGGATTTCCTATCTATCCCCCTCTCAACCCCAGTCTGATTGTAGAACCCACCTTTGGATCACTTCCTCTTAGAGATGTTACATGGATAAAATGAGAAGAGAGGTAGATGGGGAGAGAGGGAGGGGGGATGGGAGGGAGGAAAAAGGGAAAGTAGAGAGAGGGAGAATAAAAATGTACATGGGGTATGGCCCTCAGTTCACATGTGTGACCACAGCTGAGCTGTGATCCCAATCAATTGTTCCTCCCATGCCCATCTGTCAAGCTGGCCTGATGGAATTCCTTAAGATTTCATTTCTGTGAAAAGGAAGGCCGAGGACAGAGGATCATGTGACTGCAGATCTGTTACGTTTCTCAATCCAGAAATCAAGAGAACCATGGGAAGATGTATCTTTCTTAGAAAGGGAATCAAATGATACTGATTCAGGAAGCAGTGATGAGTATGAAAAATTAGCCTTATCTGAGGAGAAACGAAACAGGGGGTGGAGCTAGTTGTGGAACATGTCCTTGGCAATGAACAAGGGACTCAGGCCAGACTATCTGGGGATTCTTCCCGTAAAGTGTGATATTCCAGAAGGGGTAGGCTGATTATCCCTGGTTCAGTGCTTTGCATGCCTGGCCCCATTTAATCCCCTCAACAGATGTGTATGAGGGGATTATTGTCCATGCTTCACCAGTGGGGAAACTGAGGCACAAAGGGGTAAGGTTGCTTGCCCAGGAGTCCGTATTCTCATCCATTGCATTTAGCATGAAGACACGGTGGAAGTTTCTCCTAGAGAGAGCACAGTCAAGATGACAGAGACTTGGGGCTGTGTCCTGTGTCTGCCACAAGGAAGGGAAAACTTGAGCAGCAGACCTCATTGCTCCAAGCCTCTTTGTTCTCATCTGTATGATAGGTTAGAAGTGGTATTGAACTTACAGTTGGAGGGTGAGATAAGACAGTTCATATAAAACACTGAGCACAGAGATGGGCACATGGTCAGCACTGAAGAATTACACTAAGGGGTCTGGGGTTGTGGCTCAGTGGTAGTGCACTTGCCTAGCATGTGTGAGGCACTAGGTTCGATTCTCAGTACCACATACACATAAATAAAATAAAATAAAAAATATTTTTTTTAAAAAAGAATTACACTAAGAACTAGAAAACACACATATGTGCACATTTTAAACTAGCATCAAAAATCACAATGTGTAAGATTAGTCCCCTTATGTCTAGATCATAAATATTTTATAGAGTAATGAATATCAAAGTGCGTCTGGCCCAGGAAGTGGAATAAATATAGCTTAGACCATATATCATTTGTTCCAGTGAAACCAAGGTGACTATAAGGCATGGGTTACTTTTTACTGACAATTGCTTGACTCCTTGTGACTTCTGACTCGCCCTCTGTGGGACTAAACCGTGCTGTCAGTGAAGGAAGGATCCAGTGGTGAAATGTATATCATTAATACATAACATTAATCTGAGAAATACAAGGGAAAAATGTAAAAATCACCCTAGCACATAAAATAAATCCTTGGTTGGTCCTAATTGATAGAAGAGTTTTGTCCTAGTGGTAAAAAATCTGAGTTACAGATTTTTTTTTTTTTAAAGAGAAACAGTGTTTCATCATAAAGTGATGACAATAGTTACTATTTATGAGCCCTAGCTATGACTCAGGCAAAGCCATGCACCACACACACTTTTACTTCTTTCAGCAGTCCTGGGAGGTTGATAATGTTACCATTTTGGGAGTGGGGGTTGGGTACTGGGGATTGAACCCAGGGGTGCTTTACCACTGAGCTGCACAGAAAGAACTCTTCAGAGAGGAGAAGGACTGGGATATATTAGTTTATCTGTCATCCTCTTTTCCCAAACTGTGGCAATAACATAAATAAATATTATACAGTCCCTGTGAATAGCTGGATTAAACAGCCAAGAAAGTCTTAAAATTGATTAGCTAAAATTATTCTACATATAGCTATAGTTTTTATTGTATGACATGATGACATGTGGTAAGTAGTTTCCTGGCTTAGTTCAAATCACAGACTTTCTCAATTATGTGCTATAATGAGCTTTTAAAATGTGATCCTTTTGAAATCCTGAAGCAACAAGGACGAGAAAATGAATTTGATGATTCCCTGGCCCTACCAGGCAAGGTTCCCTCCAGGGTGAAGCTGGCCCAGGGCCATTCTCCCCTCCAGCAGCCTCAGCAAGACTCTGTCCATAGGGCCCCTTTGCTGCACTAAGGCTGGCAAGACAGTGTTCAGCTTCCTGCCTGTGGGAGTGGGGAGGAGCCCAAGGAAACTGCTGTTCTTGAGAGGTTAGTAGAGGAAGCACTTGGGAAAAGACGCTAGCTTGCAACTCTTAGAACCTTAGAGTGATTCCCAAGTCAAGTTCAGCAGGTTTCAGAGAAGCAGACTTGGACAGAGACTTGAAGCATGAGCTGCACTCAGGACAGGCCTGATGTAAATAGAAAACCGAAGGGGGTGGAGCCAGGCTCTCTGTGGGGCTGTCCCTGGTGGACCCTCTCCAATCTGAGGTGGCAGGCTGTGGAGCCAGAGCTAGCCTCACCGGGGCAAAAGGCCACCTCTGGAAGTCACATCAGTCACTTTGGCCTTAAATGAGTCTCACTTATGTACAAGTAGACACACAATTTCCAGTTTCCTCCCTCACGTGTCCTTCAGTACTCCAGGCTCTTCCTGTCCCGAAGCTCCTTGGCAGGCTTGTTGGGAGGATCCTTCTCCCCTTAGCTCCTTGTATCCAGGTCTTGCCTCCTCAGAGTTCCTCCTTGGCCATCTCCCCTGAACACGTTGTTTCCTGGTATTCTCCCTCTCCTCACCTGATCTGCTCCCTTCAGCACATGCAGTGTGAGCTTAACTACAAGTCCTTTTGTTTGTGTACCTGTTTAACTCTCTGTTGCTGTTATCAGTCTGTAATGCCCAGATGCAAGTGTTTGACTCTCAGCGGCTAGAAAACAGTTGAGGACAAAAATAAATGTTCACCAACTAAACGAAAGAAGGACTATAACTCCCAACCAAGCCTTGGGTAATGTCATTGGAATTGAGCTTGGGCTGTGGCAGTGATAGCACAGAGTTCTAGCCTCTGGACCACCAGGGCTGTCTCTAGGCAATGCATTTGGAAAAACATTTCAATACACCCATGGAATGAGAAATTATTAAAAGCCTTTGGAAAGAGGTTAATTCAATTTTTAAAACATCCTTGGAGAAGAATCCCAGGAGAAAAAGAAACATAAATAAGTTGGTTTGCGGTATTTCCTGGAAATGTCTAATGAGATCGCCCATCTGACATCCACAAACTGTGGGAATATTGTCCTTTTTATATTCTGTTCTTTCCCAGTTGCATTTCAAACAGGATTATGATGATAAAAGCATAAAGAAATATCAGAAGAAGTAGATTTTCAATTATCATAAGATTACACTTGTGGATTTTAAAGAATAGTCATGGCAGTGCTGACATCTTGGCCATCTTATTACTCTTCAATATGGAAAAATCAGTATGAAATCTGAATATTTATTAACAGCTCTGGTAAAGATGTGGGAAGAGGGGATATAAAAGTTATTGACTGGCCAGACTGAAGTTTAAAGTATAATAAATTTTATTTACTTAAGGAATTCCTATACTCCATGATGATAGTCTAAGATTGGGAGTATCTGAATCATAAACACAAATCCAGATTGGGACAGTAGTGATGATCATGACCAGCTGGGCCTGGGCCTGGATTGGGTGAAACCAATTGCAAGTGGCCACATCAACTTGCTGGCTGAAGAGCTTAGGGCTGTAGAATGATTCTGAGCACAGAGCAGGTCTATTCCTTGGGATACGGGCCAGGCAGGCAACCAAGGGGGAGAGACTGTGGCAAATTGCACTAGTCAGGGAGAAAGAAAATAGTTAGGATATTTAATATAGGTGAAACCCACTTAGAATTCATTCCTTCATTCACTCACTCGCCTAAGCCTGAAATTATATCCTTGTGAGTATATGTAACAGCCAACTGCAATGTAGAAGGCATATGCTTGATGCTTAATATATAGGCAGTCTTCACTTTTCATAGTGGTTTGGGACCTTAAAAAATTACTGTGCAAGCTGCAACTGTGCGAAGTGATCATTGTAGTCTATGAGAAAATCACAAATGCTCCGTGATTTTTTTAAAGCTCTCTTAATTGTCAACTATAAGGTATTGGGGAAATGAAAAATAGAGTAAAACTATTATTTATTTAGTATACGGTAATTTAAGACATTAAAAATACTGAGCATTAATATAGAACACTTATGTAGAGTGGTTTGAACAGTGTTTGCCTTTTCATCTTAAACTGTCAACACAGAGCAAATGTCTTTTCTAGCTCGGCAAATGGGCCCACTCCTAAATTTGGATCAGCTTCTGACATGTTTCTCCCTTGCTCTCTGTCAATGTCAGTTATCTCTGAGAGTTCCCTTAATGTGAAATGGTTTGCTAGCTTACTTCCTATGGGTCATCTTTATCCTTTTTGGTCACGATCACTTTGCTCATTTATGCCACCAAGTTTGCCCTCACTGTGCCTGGTTGCGTATCTACAGGGTACTCAATGGTGAAAGATGTCCTCATTCTATGGTCAGCTATTTCACCACTAAGTCCATTTACATTTGACTTTATTTATTTATTTATTTATTTTTGTAGTGGGGATTGAACCCAGGGGTGCTTAACCACTGAGCTCCAGCCCCAGCCTTTTTAAAATATATTATTTAGAGAAAGGACCTTGTTAAGTTGGTGAAGCTGGCTTCAAACTCGAAATCCTCCTGTCTCAACCTCCTGAGCCTCTGGGATTACGGGTGCTTGTCAGTGCACCGAGTGAGGCCTGACTTTAATTTTACTTCCAGGCTAATCACTTTTCATTCTTTTGCCGCACTTTTATATTTTGGGGCAGATTTTTTCTTTTGATTTTCTATATTGGTAAAATGTTACTCTGAGAGACTCTCTCTCCTGGTCTGTGTCTCTGTGTGTGAAATGAATAACAAAGGCACAGTGACAAATCACCAACAGACTTTGGAAGAAGTAATGAGATGGGTTACAGATCATGATGTCTATCTATTATTTATGAAGTGATTTTTAGGCCCCCAAAGCAAGAAGCTTATGGTTTTTGCAATCACTCAAAGTTCATATATTATGGCAACTGAAACTTGAACTGCCTTGTTGGAGGAGGGGTGTTATTATTTATTTATTTTGTGGTAGTAGGGATTGAACTCAGGGCCTTGTGCATGGTAGGCAAGGCTGGCCTGAAACTGATTCTCCTGCTTCTGCCTCCTGAATAGCTGGAATTACAGGCATGAGCCACTATGCCCAGCAGGACTGGTATTATATAGCCAAATAATGGCAACTGAAGCTCACTCATACTGAAGCTGTGAAGCAAGGACGGCCCACCTATGATAGGGATAATTTGAGAACACATGGGAATATACAACAGAGATTCTGACCCAGTTGTAGGGTCAGAGATTTCTTAGAGCAGGTGACACAAAAGCTGATATTGATGGGTAGGGATCAGTCTGTGAAGGGGGAGGGTGAGTGTAGGGAAGAGTGTATATATAAAGCCCCAAATGCAAAAGAGAGCACGGATGAGGTTTGGGTAGGGGCCAGCTATTCCAGATTGGTGGTGGGTAACCTTCCATTAATTTGACTTCCCCAGTCACACAGGCTGTTGCTTGTGGTTACCACGCAGCTCTGGCTGCTGTGGTTGGAAACCTCACATGCTCTGCTTTGGGATATTCACCTGAAGCGAGTATTGAAGGACAGCCTACTGCCCCCTCCAGACCAAGAGCCCACTCCTGGCAGCTAGGAAAATTTACCAAGAAAAATGAAACCAAATAAAAAAAATGGGTTTTGATGCCAGTTTGTATACATAACATAGGAGATACTAATGATTCAGATGTGAACATTCTCAGTATAAGTGGCATAAGGCACAAAGAAAATCCCTTTCACAGTTCCAGTTCAGAAGGTTGGTGCAAATTTTTAAATGATAAAACATTTATTTTTTTTCTTTTTTTATTGGTTGTTCAAAACATTACAAAGCTCTTGACATATCTTTCATACATTAGATTCAAGTGGGTTATGAACTCCCATTTTTACCCCAAATACATATTGCAGAATCACATCCGTTACACATCCACATTTTTACATAATGCTATATTAGTAACTGTTATATTCTGCTACCTTTCCTATCCTCTACTATCCCCCCTCCCCTCCCCTCCCATCTTCTCTTTCTGCCCCATCTATTGTAATTCATTTCTCTCCTTGTTTTTTTTCCCATTCCCCTCACAACCTCTTATATGTAATTTTGTATAACAGTGAGGGTCTCCTTCCATTTCCATGCAATTTCCCTTTTCTCTCCCTTTCCCT